CAACCCTCAATTTAAGATTTTCACCTACTCTTCATCTCACTGGTCTAGGCAATTCACACGATAAATTTCATGCACGGAGCCCCCGCTCATCTCAATGCTTTCTTATAACAGCTCAACTATCACCAAACTGTCTTAAGGTAGTTTATGTGTTAATTCAATAGAGGGTTATCATTCTTTTCCTATGTTATGCCCAAAATCCAGTCATTCTCCTAATATGTCAAACATGAATAACGTGCATAGATCATATCAATTGTTGCATCAATAAGTATCAGTTAGTCTAATTAACATCAGATCCAAAGTTTTTGCAGTTTAAACTAGTCCAATAATATCATCATAGCTAACAAGGTTATCAAGCCCACACAAGCATGCATGAAAAGAATTTAAAATACTGAATAGAATGCAATTTTTTTTATGACACGCATCGTGCACACATTATGCAGTAATGGAAAGTAGTGAAAAATAGATAATGATGAATATAGATAGAGGCTTAAAATTATGTCACTCCCCCCCCAAACTTAGTTAATACATTGTCCTCAATGTAAGATTAACAAAAAATTAAAGACATAATTTTAGAGACAAAATGAAGACAAAAAATCAAAATGGGGAAAACAGTACTCCCCTAATCAAAACTGTAGCTGGGATGGAAAGCTGGACCCAGCATCATCATCGCCAGGAGAGGAGGGAAAGCGGGCCAAGATCTCTCTCAACATGGTAGACTGCTGGGTCTGCTCCATCTGCATGACCTGAACTCTCGTCTCCAAACTCCCTAGACGGTCCCAAGACTCGTTTACCCGCCACTGTATATCGTCCATCTGGCCAACGTACATGTCCAGACGCCCGTCATAGGTACTCATCTGTCGGCATGCTGTGATGGATTCAATGCTGAAAGTGGACGCGAAGTTTCGTGCAGATGCCATATCCGTCTGCACCTGCTGGATGGTGGTAGTCAGTGCCCCAAAAGATTGCTGAAGCTACTGCATGTCTCGGCCGTGTCCAGTCATAGTAGCAAACATCTGCCGCAATAACTGGGTGTCCACGTTAGTCGGTGGTGGTGGAGCCTGTGGCATTTCAAGGTCCTCAACTGCTGGCCCCCTCTGCAGCCTGTTGCTGTCGCCGACGTTCGTTGTCCAATTTCTGTTGATGTTTAATTCTAGCGCGATCCTGGGCCTCGAGCGTGAGGCATTTGATAAATGGACTTGGTTTCTCCGGTGCCTCCCTTGGCTGAACTTGTATGTCGGCAGCTCTACAAATTCCACTTATCAAGCTTGGGAATATCAGTGATGTGTGCCTGTCACCCCATGCGCCTATAACGTGTATCTGATTGTAAATGTAAGTGGCTAAATCAATCTTGTTGCTCTGAACTAAGTGGTAGATGAAACCCGCCTTCTGATCTGTGAATGTCGTCCTATGGGAGATGGGCTCGATGTTGTGGCAAATAAACAACCATAGGATGGCTATAGAAGGAGTGAGATAAATCTGATACCAATAAGCAGTAGGGAGCGGCCAAGCATTTTCACGACCCAATAAAACCTCTGTAACTTCAACCCAGTTGAAATCATGCGGGACTAGGACTACATTAGTCCAAGTGAGCTGATAGTAATCATGTATTATCTCAGGTGAAAAAATGATCCATTTGCCTCGAACCCATGTCTAATGCAGATGGTTGAATCCAGGTGTGTCTATATCAGCATTGAAATTTGCATAGAATTCCTGCACCAAATTTTCATAGACGATGTGTGGTCTTTCAATCACTTTCTCCCACCCGCAGTTGTGGACTAAATAACCTAATTCAAAACCCGGGAAATCATTCAACTTAACTGGTCTCTCGGAGATGAGTGCCCATTCCCGGACAACATTGGCATAGCGGGCTGCTTGGTCTGAAGAAAGAAAACGCCGGACACCCCCTTCGAGTTCCCTAGTCCGGGCTGTACCAGATGTGGAACCAACTTTCTCTTTTCATTTTGATGTACACTTTGGAGGCATCCTGCAAAGGTATAGAAATAATAGTCAGTAACTGCAGGTTTTTTTTTAAAAAAACGATAGGGGAATTTGATAAGCGAGACAAATAGTTCACAAATCCCCTAAACTTGCTACAACATGCATATAGAACACCTTGGTGGGCACTTATCAAAATATGACAAAGCAGGTAGTGTAAAGAGAATGTCAAGGTGAAAAACTAGAAATTTAGGCCGAAACAAGCACATTTTAAAAATTGGACCTATGACTGAATGCGCATGTTCGGTCCCGGACATCATCGAAAAATATCGAAATTTCCTCAGGCAACTCCAGGCATATGAAAGTATTCAATGAGATTTACCACATATTCAAATTTCAAAGCAAATGGACTTCGTTTGGTCAGTCATATAATGGTGTAAAGTAGGGGACGTAGGGTGCCGTGACCTAGCCATGTGCCTACGCGTTGCAAAATGGATGTGATGTGATACATGGTCTTTCAAGTGGTCGTGAATGTGGTAACATGCAAATGTCAAGAAAAGATACTCAAGAACGTCTAAGGAAGGCAAAATAACAAGTTACACACAACCGGAGTTCCGAACAACCAAAATGAATCAAGTTACTCGTGATTAAGTGTGCGCTTTCGCCCCCGGACATCATCGAGAAAACTTGAATTTTTCCTGAGCAACCTCTGGGCACATGAAAGTATGTAATGTAGAGTAACACATAGTCAACTTTCACGTTCATTGGATGTCGTATGGGTACTGAACGCAGGGGACGAAGTGGGTGCAGTGACATGGGCCTAGTGCGTGTGCCCACATGCGTGCGGTTGGTATGTGAGTGTTTCGAGCTCATTTTTTATGGTATTTGATCGCAATGTGCATGATAGTGTACGTGTTTGGAATAACAAATGCGAGATATCACATAATACACCACAAAGCTCGATTGGGCATTTTATCGAACATGTAACATTCATGCATTGGAATCTTACAAAATACCTAAAATGTGATGTGCCACCAATCCAAAACACAATCCAAGTTCAACATTCACAAATCCAACAACTACCTAATGCCCATTCTTCACAAACAAGTTCAAAGAGTAAAGTCGCATGACGAACCAAAGTAAAGGAAAATAGCATAGAGGTAAAAGGAAAACGAACTCACCTTGAAGTCACTATGGAGACGTGGAATGTCGATATATGGGGGTGATGATGGGGAGTGGAGTGAAGTAAGGGTGTGATTCGTGTGGGAATGTGGTGTGTGAAGTGTAGAGTGTGTGAGGCAAAAGAGGGGAAAATGAGAGACGGAATGGCTCGGTCATGGTTTAAAACCATGATCGAGATCTACTATGCGGCTGCATAGTACTAATCTATGCGATCGCATGGACCAAATTTTTTTTTTTTAAAAAGAACGTTCTTTTATCTAGAAAAGCGTGAATCATGCTCCCAAACATCCAAAATCATTTCAAACTCACCTACCATGTGTGTAATGCCTAGAAAATTATGGGGATGATAATTCGATCCAATTAACATGCATGTATGATCGATGACCAAAAAAATGCAAATGCAAAAATGAAATAATTCTAAAAATAATGTGAAAGATAAGCTAATAGAAGGATACAGTGGGTTGCCTCCCACCCAACACTAGATTATAGTCGATAGCTCGACTTTACCGTATCGCGTCATTCTGATGGTCTAAAATGAACGGTAGATTTTTTCTTTGAAAAATCGTCGCCCCAAAAGTGCTTCAACCGTTGTCCATTGACCTTGAATGTCCCCTTGCTGTCGTGAGTGATTTCAACTGCCCCATGTGAAAAAACTTGTGTAATAGTATACGGACCAGACCACCTCGATCGCAGTTTTCCTGGAAACAGCTCAAGCCTAGAGTTGTAGAGTAGCACATTCTGCCCCACCGTAAATTCACGTCTCTGAATATGCATGTCATGCCATTTCTTGGTGCGCTCTTTGTAGATTCTTGCATTCTCGTAAGCTTTCATTCTGAGCTCATCCAGCTCATTAAGTTGTAGGAGACGTTTTTCACCCGCAGCCTTCAAATCCAAATTCAATTTCTTCATTGCCCAGTAAGCATGATGTTCTATCTCAAGAGGTAAGTAGCATGCTTTCCCGAAAACCAGTCGATATGGTGACATTCCTATAGGGGTCTTGAATGCAGTCCTATAGGCCCACAAGGCGTCGTCCAGTTTCTTAGACCAATCCTTTCGTGACGAGCTTACTGTGACTTCGAGTATTCGCTTCAATTGTTTATTGGACACTTCGACCTGGCCGCTGGTTTGGGGATGATATACAGTGGCTACACGATATTTAACGTCATATTTAGCCAACAATTGTTCAAACTGACGATTACAGAAATATTTACCCCCGTCACTTATTACAGCCCTCGGTGTTCCAAAGCGGGTAAAAATATGTTTCTTTAGAAACTCAATCACCACCTTCCCATCATTGGTAGGCAATGCAACGGCCTCTACCCACTTCGATATGTAATCCACAGCCACTAATATGTACTGATTAGAGAAGGATGGGGGAAATGGCCCCATGAAGTCGATCCCCCAGACGTCGAATAGTTCCACCTCCAGGATATTGTTTAAAGGCATTTCATTTCTCCTGGATATATTACCGGTGCGTTGACATCGGTCACACCTTTTCACGAATTCAGAAGCATCCTTAAATAGTGTAGGCCAATAAAAACCTGATTGAATGATCTTCGTCGCTATTTTCGAAGCACCAAAATGCCCTGTATATGTAGATGAATGACAATGTTCTAATATCAAAGGCACTTCTTCCTCAGGTACGTAGCGACGAACAATTTGATCAGCCCCCCGCCTGTATAGAATGGGATCCTCCCAAAAATAATATTCAATTCAGAGAAAAATTTCTTCTTCTAGTGACTGGAGTAATCAGGCGGCATGATAGACCTGGCCAAGTAGTTAACTATGTCCGCATACAAGGGTGCCTCTTCCATACCAAAAATCTGTTCATCTGGGAAGACTTCGTTGATTTCCACTGTCTCTGTCTGTTCTGTGGCCTCGAGTCGAGATAAGTGGTCCGCCACCACGTTTTCACTGCCCTTCTTATCCCTGATTTCCAAGTCAAACTCTTGAAACAACAGTATCCAACAAATGAGAGGTGGCTTTGCATCCTTCTTTTCCATTAAGTACTTGATGGCAACATGATCTATGTAAACTATGACCTTTGACCCCACAAGATATGATCGAAATTTGTCAAAGGCGTAGACAACGGCCAGGAGCTCTTTCTCTGTAGTGACATAATTTAGTTGAGCATTGTTTAAGGTCTTACTTGCATAGTAAATCACGTGAAATATCTTATTTCTTCGTTGTCCCAAGACGGTCCCAACAGCAAAATCACTGGCGTTGCACATTAATTCAAATGACAGATTCCAATCCGATGTAATGATCACGGGTGCTGAAATCAACTTCTCCTTCAAGGTGTTAAAAACCAGCAGACACTCATCCATGAACTCAAATGTGGATTCCTTCATCAACAAACAGCACAATGATTTAGTAATCTTTGAGAAATCCTTGATGAGCTTTCTGTAGAAACAGGCATGCCCGAGGAAACTACGAACACCTTTCACTGATGTAGGTGGTGGTAATTTCTCGATTACCTGAATCTTTGCTCTATCCACTTCAATACCCTTTGTCGAGATTCTGTGTCCTAGCACGATGTCTTCCTGTACCATAAAGTGGCATTCCTCCCAATTCAATACCAAGTTAGTCTCTGTACACCGCTGTAGCACAAGACTCAAATGCTCCAAGCACTCATCAAACGAAGACTCGAACACTGAGAAGTCGTTCATGAATACCTCGATGAATTTCTCAATCATATCTGAGAAGATAGCTATCATGCAGCGCTGAAAAGTTGTTGGAGCGTTGCATAAACCAAACGGCATATCCTTCGGTATGCAAAGGTACCGTAGGGGCAAGTGAAAGTTATCTTCTCCTGATCGTCAGGTGCTACTGGAATCTGATTATACCCAGAATACCTATCCATAAAACAATAATGCGAATGCCCTACTAGTCTCTCCAGTATCTGATCAATGAACGGTAGTGAGAAGTGATCCTTTCTAGTAGCAGCATTTAGCTTGCAATAATCGATGCAAACTTTCCATCCAGTCACTATCCGTGTAGGAATCAACTCATTTTTCTCGTTTTCTATCACTGTGATACCCCCTTTCTTGGGACCAACTTGTACTGCACTGATCCATGCACTATCTGATATTGGATAGATGATGACTGCATCGAGCAACTTCAATACCTCAGCCCTGACCACTTCCTTAATGTGTGAATTCAATCTCCGCTGACCATCAATGTTTGGTTTGAATTTTTCCTCCATGAATATTTTGTGCATGCATAGCGACGAGTTGATCCCCTTGATATCTGCAATCGACCATTCAATGGCTGTTTTATTCTCCCTTAGTACCCGAAGTAGTTTTTCTTCCTCCACCTTACTGACAGTACTTGAAATAATAACCGGTAGTGTAGAAGATTTCCCCAGGTAAGCATATCGAAGGTGTGGTGGCAGTTGCTTGAGCTCCAATTTGGGAGGTTGTTGAATAGATGACACTGACTTTGTAGTCCTAATTCCCAGCTCTTCGAAGTAACGTCTGCGCATGTAGCGAATTAGTTTCCAAAAATTGTGCACATGTTTCAATCTCACTCGAATCAGTGTGAGTGGATTGAGAATGAGCAATGCACGCCTCGTATGCATCTGAAGAATGATGTAGCCGAAATGTATCTTGAATTATTCTATCAATTACATCAATCTGGAAACAGCTGTCTCACTCAGTAGGGAATTTCATTGCCTTGAACACGTTGAACGAGATTTGCTCTTCGCCAAGCCTCAATATAAGCTGCACTTTCTGAACATCAACAATCGCTCTTCCAGTAGCTAAGAAAGGTCGCCCCAATATAAGTTGAACATCCTTATCTTCCTCCATATCCAAGATAAGAAAATCGGCTGGAAATATGAACTTTTCCACTTTTACCAATACGTCTTCAATGATCCCTCTTGGATGTGTAAGGGATCGATCTGCTAACTGTAATGTAACTGTTGTGACTTTAGCTTCTCCCAAGCTGAGTTTCTTGAAAATAGAGAGAAGCATTAAATTAATACTTGCACCTAAGTCACACAATGCTTTATCAAAATGACAATTCCCAATAGTACAAGGTACAGTAAAACTCCCAGGATCCTTTAGTTTTGGAGGCAACTTTCTCTGGATTTTGGCACTGCATTCCTCAATTAGCATCACTGTTTCGTGTTCTTCTATCTTTCGCTTGTTGAAGAGGATATCCTTTAGGAATTTCGCATAACTTGACATCTAAACAAGTGTTTCAGCAAATGAGATGTTGATGTGTAATTTCTTGAAAATTTCAAGAAACTTATTATATTGTTGATCCAATTTGTGCTTTTTCAACCTCTGTGAGAATGGAATAGGAGGCTCATGAGGGTTGACAGGATTGGTAGCTGTACCTCGTGATGTATTGGAATTCTTCTTGACCACATCCCCTGTTGTTTGCTCAGTCTGTTCCACAATCTCGTCATCTGCGGTTGGTGCTAATTCCCTGCTAGCTACCGATCTTTTTACATGTATCTCCTGTAGTTGTACTCCGCTTCTGGTTGTTATAGCCTTTGCGTGCTCCTTAGGGTTGATTTCAATGTTATTGGGTAAATTTCCTAGCGCTCTACCCGTCATGGAGATTGCCATTTATCCCATTTGTGTCTCCAAATTTTTGATTACTGTACTTTTTTCTTGAAGAGTTGCATCTGTCTTTCGCATAAACTGGTTGTTGGTTTCCATATACTGATTGGTTGTTACCATGAACTTTTCAAACATCTCTTCTAATGGTGACTTTTTATCCTACTGCTGATACTGACCTTGTGGTCTGTTTTGATTCTGATTACTCCACGAGAAGTTTGGGTGTTTTCTCCAACCTTGATTGAAGGTTTCTGAATGTGGGTTGTTCTGTTGGCGTTGACCCCATTGTACAAAATCTGCATGTTCGACCCCCTGTGCGAGAATCGAACAATTAACAGTATTGTGGTCTGCTCCACATTCTTCACAACGTGGCTTCTTGACTTATTTAGCAGTGGCGGTCTGTGAAATGCTCTCAACCTTATGGAACAAAGAGTCTATCTTTGCAGACAGTGCTGAATAAGTATCTACTTCATAAACCCCCGACGATCTCTTCTGAACTACTCGATCTGTAGACCACATAGCTGAAGTTGTAGCCATTCTCTCAAATAGCTCCCATGCTCCGTCAATTGTTCTTGTGGAGATAGACCCGTCAGATGATGAATCCACCATGCTCTTGAAGGATGGAAGTAGTCCAGTGTAGAAAAATCAGATCTGTGTCTTCTTGTCAAAGCCATGTTGCGGGCACTTCCTTATCATATTTTTGAAACGATTCCATGCCTCTTCAAATGATTCGGACTCACACTGGTTGAATATAGAGATATCATGCCGCATCTTGGCTACCTTAGCTGGCAAGAAGAACTTGGTGCAAAATTTGTGGGCTAGCTCGTTCCAAGTGGTGATGCTTGCGACGGGAAGTGAATTCAGCCATTCAAGTGTTTTATCCCGCAATGTGTGTGGAAACAACTGCAGTCTTATAGCATCGTTCGAGATACCTTGATACCTAAAGTGTTGGCACATATCCAGAAATCGGGATATGTATGTTTGCGAATTTTTACTACCATCCCGTGGTATTGATGCCCATTCTGAAATAGTTGAATTACATTTGTTTTCAGCTGGAAATTCGGTTGCCCAAATGGAGGATACACAATGCTAGATTGACTTTGGACCACCAACGGAGCCATGAAGTCCCCAAGTACTGTATTCCCGTCATCTTCAACTGTCATGCCTTCATTGAGTGGAATTACCGGTCGATTTTGCTCGTTAGCCATTTGTTGTGCCGCTCTTGCTTCTCTTTGTCTGTGACGAAATGTGCGTTCGATCTCTGAATTTATGGGAACCAAGTCTTGATCAAGTGTTCCTTGCATACAAGTCTCGAGATTGCAAAATCAATACAAAATTAAATTGAAGTAATAATAAACTAAACCTAGTAAGCTAACTACTACTAATTTAGATAAGTTCGAATTAGTGTCACAAAAGATAAAATTAAAACTAAATTTCCATCCCCGGCAACGGCGCCAAAAACTTGTTCGTGAAATTATTTTTTCCGATTTAAAATTCACCGCAAGTGTACGGTTCATTAACAAGTAGTAAAATGGACTATGAGTCCAAGTATCGATCACACAAGGATTGAATTAGTTCAAATTAATCTATTACGACCTTAACCGAAACACGACAGCCAAATTGCGGTTTTACTTTAACTAACAAAATGTAACCGTTGATGCAATTATGAATGACGAATTATACTAAGTGCAAAATAACTTGGATTCAATTTAACTAGAATTTTATGGAATTAATAGATGTACTAACGCACTAGGATCACGAATCCCCAAGCAATACCCGTTCAATTATCAATTATGCAACTTTGACACACAATTCCACAAAAGATGAATTGATATTCCTATTTTAATTTAACAATCTCTTTCGAGTAATGCCAAACCTATCCCAATATATTATTCGACTATATTTCTATGACGAATACTAACATACCGACATGCATTATAACTTCACGAGTATCTAATGATTCACACAAGGCATAGAGGTATATTTATATCCCCTATCGGACCCTATGATGATTTATACTATGTCGAACCTATTTTTCTTCTTTCGAATGCATAAAACAAGCCATCACAATCATATAATTACGTGCACAATAATCATATGAAAATAAAAACGCAATAAATTAATCAAATCCGGAACTTGTGTTCAAATACGTCAAAAATCCAAAACAACAATTAAACGTGATATTAAAAGGTTTGTCGATCTCCAAACAGTGATAAATCTAGCCTAACATGCTAAAAAGAATAAAACATAAAAATATTTGAAGAAATGACATCACCCGAATCAATCTTCAATCCGATCTTCACTTGGCGCGATGTTGTTCTCTTGTTCTATCCTTTGTTTCTCCTTCAAAGTCTTTCAAAAACATGTAAAAACGACGTCCTCCACCTTCTGGTCGAGTTTTTGTATTTATAGGACCCTAAAATTATTGTTTCCATAAGAGTTTCGAAAGAAAAAAGAAACTAAATTTTTCCTCGAGAATTGCTCCATACGACCGCATAGAGCAACTCTATGTGGTCGCATAGAGTAAATTTTTGGAGCCTCTTTGATTTCGGTATGCCACTATGCGACCGCATAGAGGATAGTACTATGCGGTCGCATAGTACTATCAACTATGGCAGATGTGCGTTTTGGTCCTCCCACTTGCATCCTTCACTTTTTGGCATCTTCTCTTCATTCTTTTCATTTCATCATCTCATGATATCGTCAATTGGTAATTGGCTTAATCGATTTCTCGATTTGTTCATCGGATCAACTTTTGGATATTTGCACTTTGGTCCCTAAACTTTCACTTTGCGTCATTTTAGTCCATTTTCACGTTTTTCTCCTGAATTTCACCATATTCATCGTTGTTCCCTACAATTCACAAATGTACGAGATTAAGTCACAATTCAATTATTTTGCTTGTTATTAAGTCATGTTTGTGACCTAAATAAGTGTGCAAAAACACATTTATCACGAAGCACCACGAGTTGCAGCGTTATTTCATCCACATTGTGCATTTGCAAATCCATCTTTCTTCCTTTTAAAAAAAAATCAGTGGTGTAGTGATTGACGGTTCGGTGGTGGACTGTCAGGTGTGGTGATGGTAGAGGTGTCAGGTGTGCTATGCAACGGTGATGTTCTATTGTGGTGCTGTAGGTGCGGTGGTGGTGCGATGGAGGTGGAGGTGGAGGTAGAGGTGTGAAGTGTAGTGTAGTGGCGATGCTGCAGATGCGATGGTTGTGTGCGTGTAGTACGTGGTATGGTACTGTATGTGGTGGTGACTCTGATGGTGTGCAATGGTGTTGACCGATTGTCGTTATGTGATAAGGGTGGCTCTGGCAGT